TCACATCTGCTGAAAGCTTACGTCATGCACACTGAATCATTCAGGGTTCTGGCTTACAGTAAGTGCTTTGTTAGGAAATGTTTTTTGCAGCACGATGTCCTGTCTTTCAAAGCGTATTGACCTGTCTGCGGCTGCGGCGGGTGCACTGTTAATCTTGGAAGAAGGAAAACATCGCCAAAGCACACACAATACGCCGAAAATAAAAGTGGGTCAAGCGACCTTACCCTACACCCCTGCCGAAAGTTTGCAATTCCCTAGTAAAGTTTGATAAGCAACCCTTTCCAGGTGAACAAGCAGGTGAACAAGACCAAGTCGCAAAACCAAAATTATAGAAACATCACATGTGGCATGATTTCCAAAAAACCATGGGTAGCAGCGGTCGTAAAGCTGGAAAAGCGCAAACGCTGGTATAAAGCTACCAGAAGAGATGGGACAAGGGCCTGCATGCCAAAAACCTTTTTTTTAGGAATTATTGCCTGACGACAGGGACCGCAGGCAAAGGTACAAATCCGCCCCAGCTGAGGCTGCTCCTTTTTGCAGCTTCTGAACGTAGTCCTGGCGTTGAAAGTGACAGGCATTCAAGCCCGAAGCGTTGGCCAAAAGCGCAGCATCTCAAATGCTGGAAAGATTTCAAACTCAAGAGGCCCAGCGTCTTATTTCGCTACCCAAACCCCAAAAGAGAAAACGTTGGCGCTCTAAGTTCTTACGCCCAACTAAGACCAAAACAACTAAGAAGACCAAGAAAAGAAAGCGGTGAGTATAAGCACCACCTGCAATCGTGCAGTCCGAGCTCTAAACCAGATCTTGGAGTCAACCTTGCCATGCTGAAAGAGCATTCGTCCTGGCTTTTTGTATCGAAGCACAGACCTGCTTGCCTTCCATCGTCCACGTTCTTGAATCTGCTGAAGATCACGAACATGGTAGTATGCATCATGTGAAGCACCAGAATGGCGGAGAACACGCGGTGTAAGGCGCAAGTCTATCAAGCCTTCTTGCTTCGCACTACAGGCAATTTGCTCACAGTATTTCTTGCAGGTTAACTTCGGGAAAAGCCACCTGCTGTTCTTTGAGGCGTTGAAGACGGCTTTGAGCACTGCATTTGTGTCATGGCGCTGCGGCGTGTTCAGAAGGACAACATCATCAAAGTCCCGAGCTTTTGTAGGGACCCCATCTTCCAAAGGCGCAATGATCACACCCCAACCGTCCGGTTTTCTGATGGACTGAGGCTGCAGGACGTTACATTTCTTCAACTGCACCAGCTCAGATGGTCGCAGGTAGGTGTCCCCCTGCAGGAGAATGGCGGCTGCGGCTTCACAGTGCTCTTGTTGAGCGCATCTGAGGGCCACCAAGTCCCAAAGCTGGAGGTCCACACCAGCTCGCGACTTGGGCGGAAATTTAGATTTCCACCCTTTGATAGATTGCTTTGAAAACGGAAGCTGATCTTTCTCTGGCAGGGCAATCCAGCCGAACACAGCATAGCTTGCATCTGCGAAGCAACGAGCATCTTCACAGAGTTCTTGCGTGAATTGCGTCAAGCCTTCATCTATGGCCCTGTGACTGTTTCTGCGACGCCCGTTCTGGATACACCAAGACTCGAACTCACAAACCGCGTCGTTGTACAGCTGCAAGGTCTTTGGCTTGAGTTGCGAAGCACGTAATTTCTTCAACGGTTGTATTTCAACGCTCCAGCTTTCGCTTTGCAGAAGGTGTGTTTCGAGCCTTCGCGCCTCTTTCGACGCCTTGCAGCTGCAGCTGCTTGCGAGCGCTGTCCAAAAACGATGCTGTCAAGCAAGTTGGGACATCGCGCCGAGAGTCTCTGCAAGATCGGGAACTTTTCCTCGCCGCATCCAGAGTGGGCTTTTGCGAAGGCGTGCTGGATGAGCCCAGGATCTGGTCCAGGCTCCTCTGCAGCATCAAGAAGCGTCGGTTTGATGCTTTGAGCCCATAGCTGACAAAGTTTTGGAGGATATGCACCTGCAACTTCCGTCATGTTGGCCCACTGTGACCCACCCTGCGCAGACACACGTACACGTCCTCTGAGAACGGTCGGATGTGATTTGTGAGGGCAAACTTGTTCAAGACCATCAACAAGATCAGAATTGCTGAGTAGAACAGTGGGTTTCTTATAGCCAACACCGTAGTCACAGTAAGGAAAGCGCACTTTGTGAACCCCGGGCAACAATGACAGCTCCACGATTGCTTCGAACTCCCACAGCCTTGAACTCTCTGGGTTCTCGATCGTCCAACTGACGCCGTGGGCATGGCAAAACCTGGCGAGCTCGGCAGAAAAGAATGCAAGTTCACAGCCTATCCTTTCTCGAGCTCGTGCTTTGGTGTGGTTTCGGATGTTATGGCGGGCTCGTGAGAAAACAGTACAAGGAGTTCCAATGTGTATGTACGACACCCCATACTCCAGGATGATCTTCTTTATCAGTGTCTGCGTGGAGCGCCGTGTCAAATCATACTCAGCACCATTCTTGATATCCAGTGGCGGTAGAACTCGAAGCCCTAGTGATGAAACAGCTCGTGATAGGTTTCCACTCCCACTGAAGATCTCCCAGAAAGCACCGCACCGATACAAACCTGGAGCTTTTGTTAAAGAGCGTGATCCAGCATATGAAGGAGATGCTTTCAAAGACGTAGGTGATGTTGAAGGGGAAGTTTGCCTATTGTCAGACAGGTCGGCCTTACGAAGACCACATCCCCCCGCACCTCCGCTGCTTGGACTGGCATTGCGCGCATCCTTCTTGCACAAAAAGTCAAACAAATTAAGTCTCATCGGCGTGCATGCAAAAGACTGTAGGTGGGCACGCGCTTGCTTGCAAGGTTGTTTGATGGAAGGCCCGGCGGTCGATCTATGTCTAGGCTCAAACCAGCGTGATGGTGTATCTGCCGCATTACGCTTCGCTTCAATGCGGCGTAACCGCCACCTGAAACCAAGTCCTGCCTGAAATGCCGCTGGTGATCGACAAAGACGATTGAGGCCTGTGCGTGAGGAGTGTCCCTTCTCAAAGGCAAGAACAGCTGGCAAGTTGTCCGAAAGGGTGAGTTTCTTCTTGCCTATCAAGGAAGCTACCCGCGCTGTCCGTTTCAAACTGCTCAAAGCAACTCGAGCTTCTTTGAGACCTATATGCTCCTCAGGTCTCCGCCAGCGTTTAGCCCACAGCAGTTTGAATCACTTTTTATCAACCAGAGCGGGGTCCAGGGGCTGAACCAAAGCCGGGCAATCAACGTCCTCTCGCCGAGGCTTCTTCGCCTTGAACTGCGAGATAATTGGACTTGTTTTCAGCCACGAACCCTCCTGAAGAGCCTCCTGAAGCCATGTCGCATAGGCTGCGCAAAGTCCATACCCGTCTTAGGACCGTGCAGGATTGACACTGCGTGTCCCATCTTCAAGGGCGCCGAACTCATAGACAACCTCCTCGTAGGATTCGCAACCTTTCTTCAGGACAATCTCCTTCAGAGAATCTGGCAGTGGGATGTATCGCCATTTCTCACGAAAACGACACGCACTACGAAGAAGATGATCAGGGGCAGAGCGTGTCATCATGGCGTAGCCGTGTGCGGCAGAATCACCCATATCAATCTGTTTCACAAAGCCGGACCCGAGGTCGACCTGGCAAAGCCAAACCAGATTGGTGGCCATCTCTATCTCAGTGCGTACGGCAAGCCATAGGGGAATGCGTCGATCTCCTCCTAAACGTATGAAGCGGTAGACCTTGTCAAACACGCTCAACAGGGATGGACACAGCCTCATCAACGCAGTGGCATGCCCAAGCCATACCTCATCGCTGCGGGCTCTCACCTTCTTCCGTCGCATCAGGGCAATTCCACCGAGGTGCACCCTCCAGAGACGATGAGGCTTGTGTCTCAATTGTTTGGCCCTGAAGTCGACTATGCATCCAACCGTCTCCAAAACGCGCACCGGCTCATCGTACGACCAAACAATAATAATGCTCTTTTCGGCGAAGACCTTATCGATTTAACAAACTCGCTCCTGCACGTCTTCTTTGGCGCGACCTACGATGGCAACATTGTCCACGTAGGTCGAGGCGATGGGTCGTGTCTCCGAAAGCTGTGGTACAGGAAGCTTTTCTCTCATCTCCACATAAGGTTCCCCAATCTGCATTGTAGAACCAAGCATGCTCTCACGTACCAAGGCCGAGACAGTCTCATTGGCGAAGAAGAGAGCCCATGTCCAGCCCATAGGCATCACATTGATGACAGGGAAAAGCACATCGGAATCCTTCACCGGTAGGAACTTTAAAAGGTCCTCATCGAAAACCGTCGGAATATCAAAGCCTTGCGCCTTCCAGGTAGCTGCAAGATTGGGGAAATCGATCCCAAACCCAAACCACGAAGCCATTTCCTTGATCTCGAACTGGTAAAAACAATCCGACACATCCATCTCAGATCCCCAACCGCACCCATCTGGGAGTTCCTCAAGGGGTCCGAGACTTTCTGAGGAGAGGTCCAAATCCATGTAGTTCACGGCACTGCCAAGTCTTGTAATAGGGGGCCGTCTGTGACGCAGATTGGTGATGCGTGCGTCTGATCATGCGGATGGCATCCGGCGACTTCTTTTTCACAAAGAAGATGCCCACCTTACTTCGAATTCTTGAACGGAAAGATATTATCCCAGCTTGGTAGAGTTGCTTTAGGAAGTCCAGGCGAACCCTGACATCATTTCGAAGTGCTGGGTCCCAGTATGGTTGTCGAGGACAACATCTGACACCACAGCCACCCCTGCGTCATTGAAGAGATTTGCCATGGTCCGAGCTCGGCGATGGTAGCTATCGAGATTTTCCCTCGGAATTGGGTCGAAGGCATAGACGTATGGCGCTTGCGGCCTGGGAAATTGTGATCGTCTCTCTAACGGGATGCGCACCACCACATTGAGGTCGATTCGCTTGATGTCCCCATCTGGGGTGACAGCGATCCATGTTCCAGCACCAGTCTTCTCCAACAACACCCGGTGATGCCAGAAGAACCCCCCAAGGGATAATGACGAAGTATCTGGGGTTCACGAATGTCCAAAGTGCGTGGTCCACCTGCCGCTGCCATGCTGCTGCCGACCTTGAGCTACTTTCAATCGCAGTGCTGAAGGAGTAGTAGGGCCCCGACGTGGTGACTCAGGTTCTTTGATAGGAGCCGTGGATGTTCTCTCTTCAGGTTCCGATTCCTCCGAAGATTCCACACTCCCCTCGCAGCCTGAATCAGAAGAAGAGCCTCCACACTTTTGAGAAAAGCGTTTTCTGTAGAACAACCACAGCAAAACCACAAGCAGCGCGAGCTCGACCACACCTGAAATCTTCAAAGGAATCGTTGGATCTCGCTCTCTCGGTAGCAGGCCTCCAATGCAGAATTTGATGCACCAAGCAGCCTTTGACCTCGTGCCAGCTCGTGTCTGAAAGCTTTCAGATCTGAGTCCAGTTGCTCTAAGTCCGGTCCCGTACTTACCCAGGATCGCAGAATATGGCTCCCCACTACAGTAGCTGCAACTACACGCGGGCTGAGGCAGGCCATTAACCTCCGGATCCGAAAAGGCTTAGCGACAATATCATTTACATGGGGGCTCAATCGTTGCAACGCACACACAAATCTCGCAAGCTGTACAGTGATCCTGCTTGCCCTCATCCATACAAACAATGAGACTTCGAAGCACCTCATCAGCAATGTGAACATAGCCGTCGACATTTGCCTCATCGCAGAGACTAACGGAAGGATAAGCCATCCAGCAGCTGCAACCAGCCCAAGGCAAGCACTACTCACTCTCAGCGAGCCAAAAAGTGATCCTGCAGGAGTTCCGCTTGCTCGCGAAGACAGAATGAGAGAACATAAAACACTCAAGTCCGCCGCGCACCTTGTCTCGACGAATAAAAATTAAAGGAAGAGAGGCCAATGGCCGAGAGGTTCGCGGACGGGTCTATAGAAAACGAACTTCAAATGGTCTAGAAGAGGAGTTGAAAGGGAGCACAGACCGGAACCTGAGACGTTCGCGGAAAGGTGTACAGGAGGAGTGTAAAGGGATTTGAGGCGACGATTGTTTAGCTTCTTGGGTGGATTTAGGAGCTCATGACCCCTATATACATATATACATATATATATATATCATCCACATACCCTTATGATTGTCCCAGAGGCATTTGAAACCGGAGCCATGGTCCGGCCCTCCTAGATTTCCTCCCTTTTGGGAATGAATTTGTCGGGAAATTCTAGGGGCTCAGAAAACCGCGATGTCTACCCTAGAGGTAATTGAAAACGGAGCCATTTTCCGGCCCTCCTAGATTTCCTCCCGTTTGGGGATGAATTTCTCGGGAAATTTAGGGGCTCAGAAAACCGCGATTTCTGTCCTGGAGGTAATGGAAAACGGAGCCATTTTCCGGCCCTCCTAGATTTCCTCCCGTTTGGGGATGAATTTCTCGGGAGATTCTAGAGGCTCAGAAAACGGCAATTTCTGTCTTAGAGGTATTGAGGTTTGCAGTTTCAATCCTGAGTGGTGCAAAGTTTCCCCCAAACCCTACCGTTGCACTTGGAAGCAGCTTACCCTGTCTGCACAGAGCCAGGTGGGAAGGGAGAAAACCTAAGCTCCTAAAACCCTAAGCCCCAAAAAACTTCAACCCTAGACCCCTAAACCCTAAGTCCCTAAAACCTTGAACCCTAAGCCCCTATACCCGGAACCTAATTGACCCATGGCTACCTTGTGCACTTTGTGAGGGCACAGTTGAACCTGGACATTCAGCTTAATGAAGTCCAGGACCGGCAAAGTGGGTTCTGGGGCTTAAGGTTTAGGGTTTAGGGCTTAGGGTTTAGGGTTGCTGAAACAGCACTAGCAGCTGCTGGTCAGACACTGGTGTCAACCAAAAGACAGAATCAGAAAGAAAGAAGAAGAAGGAAGATTGAAAGAGCTCAATGATATCGGAATCTGCGCAGCTGATTGGAAGAGCTGACGTCGAAGGATCAAAGAGCTATGGCACACCTTTGCCGCAGACTGCAAGCTGTCTATGGGCCTGGGCCCAGGTGCTATCGGCACACACATCCTTGCTGCGCAGATCGGCCTGTCGTACAGCTGACTGTATGGATCACATTTGGACTGTACAATCAACACTGCTCAAAACTCTTTCAGATGTGATCCCAGGAGTCTCCGGCTTCCGGGCTTGACCCTTTATTCGTAACGAGGCTCGTGTCTTCTTGGCAGACGTGAAGTTAGAGTCAAACTGAAGTGACAACTCCCTTTTCATAAGAGCACTGAGCAAACTGAGGAACGAAAACGGTTTGGAAAGATTATCGGCTAGTTGCTGGTGGGAATCTACCCAATGAAGTTGCATCCCGGATGCCTTGGCCCGCTCCCGGATCGAGAGCACTTCCAGTGCCAGTCGCCGCTCTTCCAACTGACGCCCACTGGTTTCTATTCGATTAACCGCATCATAGAGGTTCTTCGAGTCAGTAACTACGGCAGATTGGAAGAGGCTAGCTGCTTGGTCCATGCTTCTGGGGCTTATAGGCTGCTGGTTGAATCATTCCAACGTCATTGGCTTCGTGAACTCATGAACATCGGGGGCATTGCTACCGGTCTGTATCTCCGCCGCAGTAGAACTACGACAAACACGGGCCAGTTTTCTAGACTGCCATCCTAGAGGAGCAAAGGCACTAGGTTTCCCTTCAAGAACACCATGGTCAACCAACATGGAAAAGATTCCTCCCTGGGAGGATCCATCTCTGCGACATGCATAAGACGCATCGTGATAGGTGAGCAAGATGGGTTTCTCGATATTAGAGCGAAAGTACAGAACCTGTTGACTGTACATTTTTCTGCATCCTAATCAACTTGTTGGTCGAACCAAGTCACCGACACGGGCCGTCTTAAAGCATCCATTGGAGGAACAAAATGCTTGCGGACAGCCAGGGAGCTGATTGTGTAGCACGCCAGCTGAGCGCTCCAAGAGCTGTCCTGAGCCATTTTCTCTCGGTTTCATTGACCTCAGCTGTTCTTTCCTACTTTTGGTAATAGGGATCTCGCTGATGCCCTCTGCATACCGTTCCTGATTCAGGTCAAGGGACTTGTCCTCAAGCTGTCTCAGCTCGCATCCACAAAAGGTCTCTGTGTCCTGGAGGGACTTCCAAGACCCGAATGGAAAGCTCTCTTTGAGGGCCCGAACCCTGTCCTCAAACACGGAACCCTGTCCACAACACAACACATCATCAACATGCATGCCCATGAGGCCGGTCACCCTACTTTCATCATCATATAAACGCCAAACGCATGGTTCACGTCGAGATTGAATCCAACCGTGCTGTTTCAGTTCTTTACCGAGCTTGTCAGCCCAGGCACGAGGAGCATGGAGTAACCCATACAGTGCTTTCAAAATACGGAACTCATTAGGTTTCATGCTCAACATGCGCCTAACTTCTTCAGGGGATTCAGCATAGATTTCTCTGTCAGTTTCAGTAGCATCACCATTCAGGAAAGCAGTTTTGGCGTCACCGACATAAGCATCCCACTTGTTAGTGGCCGTAAGGGCTAACGGCGTGTTACGATTTTGAGTCGCAAGAGTAGGGCTATCCCGCTTCAGACAAAGGAGATCAGGATCCTGAAGGCCTTTAATGATAAGCCTCGCTTTGGGTTTTTGAGAAACAGTTTCCCCTGTTTCATTGGTCACGGCTTTCCATGACAGCGCCCAACGCATGCCCATGATACGTTCAGGAGAAACATTGTGACGTCTAGCAATGGCAACCGCTTCGTGTTCAAGGTAAGAACTCAACTCACCCTGCATGGCCTTCATGAAGTCAAGCTTATCGTCAGCACTCAAAGTTCGGAACTGAACTTCCGCTCGCTTTTTGGGCTTGTCATTCAGAGTCCAACCCGAAGCACCCCGACCGGAAGTCTTATGAACATCCCTGGGCTGCAGATCCATGGAAATCTCAAACACCTCTTGCTGGTTTTGCGTGGCAGTGTTGAAGTAATTACTGCAGGCAGTGTCGATTGCATCAGGTCCATCCTGAGGCTTCACAGTCACCCCCACACCTTAGTTTTGGGAAAGGCTTTCCAAGCTTCTGGGAAGTCCTCACGTTGCCATTCAAAGCAACCAGGATTGGCCGTCACCGGTTCCCCTGACCCTTGACTTTCACAAGGCAAACTAATCAGGCTACCAACAGTTTCTTCAAAACATTTACAATCATCAGGAACACCATAGCGGATTTCAAGGGGGTCCTCTTCAAGAACCGTGTACAAGGACAATTCACGCTGCATACCGGTCAACCGACTAGGATCGACGTTCTGAGGATAGGGTGATCGGCTACGTGATCTGCCTACTTCTGATCAGTGCTCATCAGTGCTTTGATCTGACTCAGGCGGCGTTGGAGCTCGGCTAGCTTCTTTTCGGTGGCTGCCGCGGCAGTCAATGGGTG